GTAACACAATGAACTCAAATTGATTTTTCGTTTAATTTTTGTAAATTATTCAATCCAGGCTGCTCTCTTTAGGTTTTGTCGTGGCTGGAGCAACAGTTATTATTTTGATTGTGCGGCACTGCATCACACACTACGCAATAAAGCATGAGTCGTTCAAGCCGTCTGATATCGCATACTTTGTCAATTTTATCATTGTCGGTGTCACTGTTCTTGTTATCGCAGTACCCGAAGGCCTTCCGCTTGCCATTACCCTTTCTTTAACATATTCAGTGAAAAAGGTTAGCAGAAGTTTTCGGCTGTACTGCTTCCAGATCGTACTACAGCCATCCACTAGGAAAAGCTGTACATCAAAACTGGATTTTTCTCAGTCATAGTTGCTTCTCTTTGTTATTTTTGTTTTCATTTGTTTAAATTTTCCGTTTTGGAATTGTTTTATCGTTCGCTGAATTAGCGCTTGCCTGCTGGTTTTTAATCGTGTTTTATATATATTTGCAATCTTCGGATTATTTTTTCCACTGTTCTAATTTTATTACTTGAGTTCTTAGCAGAAGGGGATTTCTAGTCATTGTACTTAAATTATAATTTTAGAATCTCTCATACATGTAGCCGTGATCCATAATTAAGATATGAAATTTTAGATGATGAAAGATAATAATTTGGTAAGGCATCTGGACGCATGCGAAACGATGGGCAATGCGACAGCGATATGTTCGGATAAAACAGGCACTTTAACAACAAACCGAATGACTGCTGTACAGTCTTTTATAAATGGTATTTGAAGAGCTTAATTGAAGCTTCGTTCTAAGTTAACTTGTTTTGAACTGGCATTTGCTGATTTGATTTCTGATATGTAGATTTACATGCGAATTTTGAGTGAAAAATCTTCCACTTTTTGACTTTGTTACAATTCAGCAGTCAAAAATCAATAGTACCTTCAATGCTTCTGTTAGTTCGCGAGATGCCTTCACTGGGAAGTAGCCAAAGCGATAACGTTTTTCGGCAGCAACAATCTATTGACAAAATTTTTGATGACTACCACTATTGCGTGTTGTACGAAAAAAAGCTGAATATAATGGTCGAATTAACTGCTAATACTGATAAAAATATTGCAATTTCAGGGCAATTTTACAAGTACGTACCAAAATTTGAAGAGCTTAACGAGAAAACTCGCGATCTGTTAATTGAAGGAATTGCCGTAAACAGCGGTTATAACTCCCAAGTTGTGGATCCGGACCAACCGGGCAAACAACGAATACAGGTGCGTGGTGGCAGTTTGAAGAAATTTTGCTAATCCTTTATTCCTGGAATGGATGTCAACGAACGTTTCAGTTGGGAAATAAAACCGAATGTGCTCTTCTTGGATTTGTGCGTGACTTGGGCCAAAGCTACGAAATTATCAGGAAAGATCATCCAGAGGAATCGCTCGTCAAGGTTGATTTTTTAAATCCGTCGAATGAATAAGTCCAGCACCTCTTAGTTCTGCCTATTAACAGCACCAATTTATCGAAAGCCCCGTATATTTTTAAGAAAGTAGTTTCGAAAACGCCTGTATCAAAGTTAAAATTTATAAAAAGTGTGGTGTTTAGCATCAAGTTTAGTGTGAAGAAAATGGCGTAAAAATGGGTACGAACACGAGCCATATTCTCTAAAAACCACAGAATACAACTAAAATTATGCAAAAACAACTAGAATGGTGCTGACTATAAAAAAACATAAAAGAGGTCTTAGCTGCCTCATTTAAAATTAAAACAAGAAATTTGAAAAAATCGGTGCA